AAAATATATTAACTTAGCCAATAAATAGTATAATCTCAAATAATAGTTTAATCTCTACTAAATATTAATCAATAACTTATAACATAAACACAATAAATACAATAAGTACAATAAATTAAATTTAAAATTCAACAATAGTAATTTAATCTCCAATAATTATTGAAAATTTTCTATTAAATAACTAAACAAAATAAATTTATACATACTTATTGAAAATACATTTATCACAAAAGACAATAAATATTAATTTTAGTATATATAATTATATAATAAATATAGATTAATAGTTTAAAATTATTATTAATAAATATTATTTTTTTTGAAAGTTATTTTCTCTAATATTACTTGATATAAGTGAAATTAATTATTTACAATATTATGTAAAAATATTAAATCATTATTAATTTTAGTATTATGTTATAATTATTTTTCTACTTTATATATATATATATTTAAATTTATTACATAATTTATTTATTTTAACTATTTAAAATCTAGTTATGTTAAGTATTTTGTTATTTAAAATATTTAGTTATTTAAATACCTAAATAATATGTAAAATATTTAAACTTTAAAATATTAATTATTTATTGAATTTAATTTTCCATAAAATCAGAATTTATACTATGATTACATAATTTCATTATTAAATTTGTAATATATTAAATTATTATTAATTTAAATATTATGTTATAATTATTTTTCTACTTTAATTTTTTTTAAATTTATTACATAATTTCGTTATTTTAACTATTTAAAATCTAGTTATGATAAATATTTAGTTATTTAAATATTTAAATAATCTATAAAATATTTAAAGTTTTGTTATTTGAATTTTATTTATTTAAAGCTATTACATATTATTAAATATTTAAAAAACATTTAAATTGATAATCCAAAAAAACTTAATTTAAATTGTTAATACATAATTTCATGATATATTTTGTAAAAATATATAATTATTTTTTGTGTTTTTAATAAATATTTTAAAGTTATTTTAAAATTTTGTTAGAATATTTAAATAATTCTTAAATTTTTTAATCCAAACTTTCTTTAGATAGACATAGATAAAATGTATGGGAGAGGATAAATAGGAATTAGAGATAATTTTGGAGAAAATGAGGGAGGTAGTTTAGGAGTAATTTTAGGAGAAGAGATTATTTAGGTTATTGAGAAAGTGCATCTCATTGGTTGTTTCAAAAATGACATGGAATTAAACAAATAGAAAATGAGAAAAAATGAGAAAATAGATAAATAACTTCTCTCAAATGAGAGACATGCTAACATGGCATGTGCCACTACAAACAAGTGTTTAGTGGTGTTAAGTTGCGTTATCTTTTTGGGAAAATTCCACTTTAGTACCTTGAACTTTGGGGGTAGTGTCAAGGTATTATCCAAATTTTCAAATGTGTCATTGCAGTACCTAAATTTTCAAAAAGTGTCAAATTGGTCCCTACCGTTAACCAACTATCAGTTATCTGTTGAAAATGTCAAAACTACCCTTCAAAAGAAGACACTATTAATTGTTTTCTTCCTTGATATTGAACCAGTTATTTTCAAAGAAAAGAGAGAAAAATACATGAAATATGATAGAGGGAACAATAACCGAAAGCAAAAAAATAACTAGACAAGAATGTGTTTCGGATCTAAAGGTAGAAGACAATGACTTCATTAGTCTAGAATCTCAAACATCTCAACCGGTTCATTTCAAGGTAGAAGACAATGAACAATGTCTTCTTTTGAAGGGTAGTTTTGACATTTTCAATGGATTACTGATAATCGATTAACGACAGGGATCAACTTGACACTTTTTGAAAGTTTAAATATTGCAGTGACACGTTTAAAAATTAGGGTACTAACTTGACACTACCTCCAAAATTCAGGGTACTAAAATGGAATTTTCACTATTTTCTTTTACTATGAAAAAGAACGGTTACAAATTGTGGAAGTGTTGTTGCTGGGCAATTTTGAGACTTTAAGAAACCTTAAATATGATGCGGGGTAATTTTGTAAGTTTATATGTTCCCTGTCTCGGTCATTGACGGATGGGAGGCTTTTTTGAGTTTTAAAAAGGTTTAGGGGAGATTTTTATTAAAATGAAAGGAGGTTTTTATTATTGTCAGAAATCTACCCTTTATTTATTTGTCCCATTCGATATTCAAACCCGAAGTCCGTTCAATTACGATATCAGATTCGATTCGATCCGTTTGCAGCACTGCAAATTGCAAAATATCAAACGTTTCTACTTTCTCTAAAGCGATGTTTTGCAATGCTACCGTTTTAAAAGGAGGTTGCTTATTAACTTATCCGGATACTGTTAAACACTTGAAACCGAAACAAACCTTCCCGCGGGCTTCAATGGCGCCCAAATCGCTTCTCACCTTCTCTGTCTCCCTATCTCCATTTTGTGCTCCGAGTAAACTCGCAAACCCAAACCCTAATTTTCTCTTCAGAATTCATCATCACCTACCGACTCTCGTTATCTGCAAAGCCACGAATTCACAGAGTCAACAACAAAAGCAAAATTCTGAAGCCCAATATTTCTCGTTCTCCGTTGCTGAACCCGAAGGAACTGGTGCGGCTGCACCCACTCGAGGCCAGATATTTCTCGAACGCCAGCAATCCATAGAGGCAGCTGCACTCGTGCTCGCTTCGAATAAGAAGAAGAAGAAAAAGGGGAAGAGCTCGAGTGCAGGTCTGAAGCTTTCTCCTGCAAGCGCTAGTTGTTATGGTTGTGGCGCTCCCTTGCAGACTTCAGAAGTCGATGCTCCGGGTTATGTCGAGCCGGATACTTATGAATTGGTATGGGATTTTTCTATGATTTTCGCTTTCGAGAGATACAACAATCATGTTTTATGTAGAACACCAATGCAACCAAGTGCTTAGTTGTTTTGGGATGCAGAAGAAGAAACACCGACAGCTTAGAACAGTTCTCTGCGGGAGGTGTCGGCTTTTGTCTCATGGGCACATGATAACTGCTGTTGGTGGACATGGTGGCTATTCTGGCGGGAAGCAATTTATATCGGCAGAGGAACTTCGAGAGAAGTTATCTCACCTTCGCCACGAGAAAGCGCTGATAGTTAAATTGGTAAGCTACGGAACTACTTGTTTTTGTTTATCTATTTATATATATTCCAAGTGTTCTTTGTCAAATAATTATTCGAGATTGATATTGTCCTTGGATTCATCTAAACAATGGTTCCACCAAAAAAAAAAAATCTAAACAATGGTAGTATAGTCGAGGAGTTAACCATTGATGCCTATTTAGTGTTTCTTGACAAGATATTCCAAATATTTCTGGAATTGCTCCATCAACTTGGAGGTTCTCTTCTGAATATATCTGATGACCCTGTTATCATCAATAATGTCTTGGAGAATGTAGACATATGATATTGGTAGGATCCATTCATGATATGTTACATATGCAGATAATTGCAAACTGTATGATACTAAGATATGACATTCTTTTACATACATCACATTGCATCACTTTCTCAGTTATCATGAATGAAGGGGCTGGTAAATCACAGCTAAATCTGACTGTTCTGCATGTCATTTGAAAATAATTAGAGTGTTTAACTCTACCCCAGGCTTGGTTCTCTCCAAACTAAGTTCATTTTTACTTACTCCTCTTGCTAGAGAATCAACAAGGCTGTTTGCCGAACCGGGTCTTAATCTTAACAAGCAGTTTATGTAGGTAGCCAATGTCTTTACTTCCCTTAACAAGAACATAAGGGTCAAGGATCTTTTGTCCTAGATAAGAGTCATCTAGTAAAATTTGACAACCTCCTACAATCAAAACTTCCCAGCTCATTACATGTGCTAACCTTAGCCCTTATAGGAGGGCAAACATCTGATTGGCCTGAGTTTCCAACTAAGAAACTTTCAAAACATGGTTTGATTTTACCCAGCTATAGGGCACCTCATTTTAATGCTCCATACCCGTACGTGTGGAGTCCATGACCACCCCCTTGAATTCATTCATTGTCAATGCTCAACTTTCCACTCTCATAATGATTATATCAATAATAAACAATTAAGTTAATATTCTTGGAAAGCAATCATGTATATCTGATAAAGGGCCTAGTATCATGCTAAATGTTGCAGAAAATCTGCCTTGATATCTTTTGGCTTTTGAGCTATATCAATATGTGTGGTTGTTTGTGCAACAGACCAGATCAGTAGCTTATCTGCTGTTTGACTGACATAGTTGAGGAAAGATGAGGTGGTGTAGATGTAGAGTATTGATCTAGAAACCATGAACCACAGATGAAGAAAGGGAAGAGGTCTAATCATTACATTCAGAAATAATGAAAGATTATAAGCATTTTATAAAGGCACTGATGAAATCCAATGAAAAGATATCCATCAATAGAGAAACCCTACCTCAACCTTGATTTCTAATTTCTTTTATTTGTTTTCTTTGATTATCGATTTGAGTTCGAATGACATGAAATTTTAGGGTTAAAGGAAGTTCTGTTCAACAGGAATGGTAATCTTTCAATTTTAGTCATTTTATGCCTGTCTGAAAAGCTATACATGTACCAAAAATGATTGACTGTATTAATATATATTTTTTTTTGAGAAAATACTCTGTATTAATATTGATGCTTTCTTTTCTGTTTTTTCCTCAATCCGTATGTAGGTTGATATTGTTGACTTTAATGGCAGTTTTTTGGCACGTATACGTGATCTTGCTGGTGCGAATCCAATTATTCTAGTCATAACTAAGGTATAATTCTTACTGACAGATGCTAGTGATCAAATTTTATTAATTGAGTTTTAACCTCTTGATGCCCTCATTATATAATTATCTAATCAAGTTCTATTCATGTTCTTTCATATCAACTAAGATTGACCTCCTTCCTAAAGAGACTGATCTAAATTGTATTGGAGATTGGGTTGTTGAGGCCACTACTAAGAAGAAGCTTAAGTAAGTCTTGTTCTCCTTGTGCTTGCCTTCCAGTTTGGTTATTGACTGAGGTGCTTATGATGTGAGTGAAAATTCTCAAGAAAACTAACTAGTGTGTTCTCAGAAATATTTACAATATACAGCTTTCTGAACCTAAAGCTAAAGAAGTGGATATACTTTATTGTCTTTATTTTATCAAATCTTGATCTTTGACTTGTGGTAAAATGAGTGGTAGCCAACCATTAGTTAACTTGGCTCACTTGATTTGGATGGTTGTCAGTTGGCTCACCTGGTCATTCATAAATTGAGACATGCTAGTCTGAACTGGGATAAGATGAGTAGTAGCCATTCATTAATTAAGCTGTCATTTGCCATGCAGGACATAGAAAAAAGTGGGCAGTATATATTTTCTTAGCCAATTAATTAGTAGTCTTTAGTTCTATCTAATGCATGGATTCTTAGAAATAGAATTAGGATAATAAACTATTTGGATGCTAAATTGGCTATTTGTCCTACCTTCACAAGTTCTAAGAATGCAGTATGTAAGCATGCAAAACTGAAAATAAATTCAGGAGAGAAATTAAATGAGAAAAAACAATTATTTGTTTTGATAAATAATAGTTTCCATTAAAGGTGATGATATGTTTCTGTTCTTCCTTCTACCCACCAATTTTCCCTTCTTTTGTTAGGTAGAAATAATCACTGATGATGATGTTGGTCTTGGTCATATATATTAATGTAGAGAACATTGATGTGGGCCCCACAGATGTGGTCCCACTCTATCCGTAGGGTAGAATGTATCTAGTCACAGCTGTGGTTATTTTGCTATTCTGTTATTTCTAGTTTCAGTTTTATATTGTTTGTTATTTGTTAGCAGTTATGATGTAAACACCAAGGGCAGATATGTCCTTTCATGTAACTAGCATAACCTATATATAT